TTTGGGGCCCCCCAAAAAAAAAAAAGTTTACTAATTTTTTTAATTTTATTTCAGTTTAGTATTGGAAAAAAGTCAGAATTCTGACTTTAATCTCAGAATTCTGACTTTTTCTCAGAATTCCAACTTTAATCTCAGAATTCTGACCTTAATCTCAGAATTCCAACTTTTTTCGCAGAATTCTGACTTTTTTTCCCCAGAATTCCAACTTTAATCTCAGAATTCTGACTTTAATCTCAGAATTCTGACCTTAATCTCAGAATTCCAACTTTTTTTCCCAGAATTCTGACTTTAATCTCAGAATTCCAACTTTTTTCCCAGAATTCTGACTTTATTCTCAGATTTCTAACTTTAATCTCAGAATTCTGACTTTAATCTCAGAATTCTGACTTTTTTTCCCAGAATTCTGACTTTAATCTCAGAATTCTGACTTTTTCCCCAGAATTCTGACTTTTTCTCAGAATTCCAACTTTTTTCCAAGAATTCTGACTTTTTTCCCCAGAATTCCAACTTTAATCTCAGAATTCTGACTTTAATCTCAGAATTCTGACCTTAATCTCAGAATTCTGACTTTAATCTCAGAATTCTGACCTTAATCTCAGAATTCTGACTTTTTTCCCAGAATTCTGACTTTTTCCCCCCAGAATTCTAACTTTAATCTCAGAATTCTGACTTTTTTACCAGAATTCTGACTTTAATCTCAGAATTCTGACTTTAATCTCAGAATTCTGACTTTAATCTCAGAATTCTGACCTTAATCTCAGAATTCTGACTTTTTTCCCAGAATCCTGACTTTAATCTCAGAATTCTGACTTTTTCCCCAGAATTCTGACTTTAATCTCAGAATTCTAACTTTAATCTCAGAATTCTGACTTTAAGCTCAGAATTCTGACTTTAATCTCAGAATTCTGACTTTAATCTCAGAATTCTGACCTTAATCTCAGAATTCTGACTTTAATCTCAGAATTCTGACTTTTTTCCCAGAATTCTGACTTTAATCTCAGAATTCTGACTTTTATCCCAGAATTCTAACTTTAATCTCAGAATTCTGACTTTAATCTCAGAATTCTGACTTTTTCTCAGAATTCTGACTTTAATCTCAGAATTCTGACTTTTTTCCCAGAATTCTGACGGCTAACAAACATGTTAGCATCGAGCCATAGCCATGTCTGTTTTAGAGACTAGCTCTCTTGTTTTAATGATCTTCTGCTCCTCCATTAATGAGGGGACCCCTCAGGGACGTAAATAATTTCTGAGAAAAAAGTCAGAATTTTAAGATTGAAGTCCGAATTCTGAGAAAAAAGTCAGAATTCTGAGAAAAAAGTCACAATTCGGACTTTTTTCCCATGTTAAACTGAAATAAAATTTAAAAATCAGTTAACTTTTTAATTTTTTCAGTGGCCCTAATCCTCTTCAGTATTTCCACTGTGGAGCTGTGCTGCTCAAAAAGAGAAAAAACGTTTTAATCTACATGGTTTTACCCACCAACACTAAAGGCTGCAGCAATTAAAATATGAGTAAATTGAAATTTCTTGAAATTTTATTTTACACCGACTTTAAAAAAGTAAGCAATTTGAAATAGAATAAAATGATAAACCATTCCAAAATTGAAATTATTTTAACTGATTTCACCGACAGATTGTTTTAATTACCTGTTTAAATGAGTGGAAAACAGGTTGTTTTTCTTTTATTTTTCCTTTTCTTTCACTGTCATACGTGTATGTACTAATAATTTTATTTGTAACGCACTTTACATTTGAATTCAAATCTCAAAGTGCTACAGTTCAAAAAGGGAAAATTAAAACAAAGGTTAAAAGACCATAACATTAAAAACAGAGTAAAAGGCAATCATTAAAAGCAATACATTTGCAGGCATAAGTAGCCTATAAAAAAAAAAATCTAAAAATCAGCAATTGTAAGCATTTCTAAAAAGGAAAGTTTTCAATCCTTTACTGTATATAAGGTATATATTCTAATGCACCTTTTTCTTCCTTTGGCTCATTCTTCTTTGTTTATTTGAGCCGATGTAAAGAGTAAATTTCTCTACCGTCAGATCAATTCATTTTGGGACAGTTTTACTTATTTAGATCAATGAATGAATCAGTAAAATCGTTCTTTTTGCGCCAACAAACTCTTATTTTTATTAGCGTGAATTTAATGGGTCAGATAATTCCTCTTCAAATTTTACAGAGTTTCAAACACATTATTACAATTTATATGAAACTGTACAGTACAAAAAACAAATAATAAATTAAAGCATCCGGGCTTAAAAAAAAGTCTCTAACTGGAAGAGAAACTTCTTTAAAAAAAACAAAATACACATTATAAAGTTGGAAAAGAAATTCATGCAGCAACTTTAAAAAGAGCCTGAGGTTTAGATGCATACTGATGTGAAAAAAAAGGCCAAAATAAACAACCAAATAAACGTTTTGTACTCTGAGGGATTACAGATCCAGTTCCCTGCAGACGTACGGTTGGTTTGTTATATTTAACAGCATCAAGGCTGAATGTCTTTACTCAACATTTCCACGTGGTAAAAACCAAACGCTGCCCGACAACCTGCCTTCTGCAGAGGTAAAACACAACATGTGTCAGAGGAGAAGAACAGAGGTAACAGAGCAGCACGTTGTCCAGAACCGGACCTCCGGGTCACAGCAAGCAATAACTAATAGTATTTACATCATGGCCGCCCCGTCCTGAAGCTTTCAGATGCATCCTGCTCCAAACGGCTGAACTAGATTCACCCAGCTCTGCAGAGTCCCGGTCTGTTGGTTTGATTCAGGTGGTTGGAGGGATCCATCTGGAAGAAGATCTAAGGGACTGGACTCTGGGAGCCCTGCTTTACAATATTTATCAGAAAGGCTTTTCAGGCTTTAATGTCTGACAGTTTCTGGAGGATCTGAAACAAAGGCTCATCGTGGATCCTCACATCTGAGACGTTCCCAGTTGACATGATCTCCACGGTCTGCAGCCAAAGGGGGGACTTAGGTCCATACGAGTCTTTGGATTCATGCTCTCACTACAGGAAGGCCGTTTCTCAATTCACAAGAATGCGAGTACGGACTTGAGTCCTCGCCAAGTATGTTCTTCAGAAAAACACAGGACAGTGTGGACTCAGGGAGCACGCAGCATAAATATTGGTCGATTGGAACAGAAGCGTACTGATGACATCACCACACGCTCTGCTCGTCTGGAGCTGCATTTCATCTCATTATTAAGTCTCTAGATTATAGTAAATTATGACTTTTTTGATTTAGTAGGGGAATAATAATGAAGACAGTCAGATGAACACAAATACAAATTAATATTTTGCAAAATAAAACAAAAGAATTGCCATGACAGGCAGCGGTACTTCACACACGGCTATGCAGGGAGAGGGCTGCTGCAACGGGCTAACATTAGCCCTGGCTGCTGCAGACGGGCTAACATTAGCCCTGGCTGCTGCAGATGGGCTAACATTAGCCCTGGTTGCTGCAGACGGGCTAACATTAGCCCTGGCTGCTGCAGATGGGCTAACATTAGCCCTGGTTGCTGCAGACGGGCTAACATTAGCCCTGGCTGCTGCAACGGGCTAACGTTAGCCCTGGCTGCTTCAGACGGGCTAACGTTAGTCCTGGCTGCTGCAGCCGGGCTAACGTTAGCCCTGGCTTCTGCAGATGGGCTAACGTTAGCCCTGGCTGCTGCAGATGGGCTAACGTTAGCCCTGGCTTCTGCAGATGGGCTAACGTTAGCCCTGGTTGCTGCAGACGGGCTAACATTAGCCCTGGTTTGCTGCAGACGGGCTAACGTTAGCCCTGGTTGCTGCAGACGGGCTAACGTTAGCCCTGGTTGCTGCAGACGGGCTAACGTTAGCCCTGGCTGCTGCAGACGGGCTAACATTAGCCCTGGCTGCTGCAGACGGGCTAACATTAGCCCTGGCTGCTGCAGATGGGCTAACATTAGCCCTGGTTGCTGCAGACGGGCTAACATTAGCCCTGGCTGCTGCAGATGGGCTAACATTAGCCCTGGTTGCTGCAGACGGGCTAACATTAGCCCTGGCTGCTGCAACGGGCTAACGTTAGCCCTGGCTTCTGCAGATGGGCTAACGTTAGCCCTGGCTGCTGCAGATGGGCTAACGTTAGCCCTGGCTTCTGCAGATGGGCTAACGTTAGCCCTGGCTGCTGCAGACGGGCTAACGTTAGCCCTGGTTGCTGCAGACGGGCTAACATTAGCCCTGGTTTGCTGCAGACGGGCTAACGTTAGCCCTGGTTGCTGCAGACGGGCTAACGTTAGCCCTGGTTGCTGCAGACGGGCTAACGTTAGCCCTGGTTTGCTGCAGACGGGCTAACGTTAGCCCTGGTTTGCTGCAGACGGGCTAACGTTAGCCCTGGTTTGCTGCAGACGGGCTAACGTTAGCCCTGGTTGCTGCAGACGGGCTAACTTTTGCCCTGGCTGCTGCAGACGGGCTAACGTTAGCCCTGGCTGCTGCAGATGGGCTAACTTTAGCCCTGGTTTGCTGAAGACGGGCTAACGTTAGCCCTGGTTTGCTGCAGATGGGCTAACGTTAGCCCTGGTTTGCTGCAGACGGGCTAACGTTTGCCCTGGTTGCTGCAGACGGGCTAACGTTTGCCCTGGCTGCTGCAGACGGGCTAACGTTAGCCCTGGCTGCTGCAGATGGGCTAACTTTAGCCCTGGTTTGCTGCAGACGGGCTAACGTGAGCCCTGGTTTGCTGCAGACAGGCTAACATTAGCCCTGGCTGCTGCAGACAGGCTAACGTTAGCCCTGATTTGCTGGAGACGGGCAACGTCTTCATTAGCCCTTGCTAATGCAGACAGGCCAATGTTAGCCCTGGCTAATGCAGACGGGCTAACGTTAGCCTAACCTAGGGTTAGCCTCGGAGCTCCGCTGGTTGCCGCCGTCGTCTCAACATCGGATCTTTTTTCTAACTTATGCACTAAATCAGTTAATGGGCCATATAGTGACGCTTAAAGGATAATTTTATCACCTTAAATGATCTAAAAATGTATTTTTATTTAACAACGGCAACAGAAAAGATAACTTTTACCTTTATACTCTAAGCTCTGTAAGGGCTAACCTGAAAGCTGCTGCTGCCGCAGTGCATGCTGGGACAGCTGTCGGACAAGTCTGCTCTGATGCATGCTGGGTAAAGAGGGAGGGGCAAGAACAACATCCAGGGATTTTGTCCGTTCTCGGTCTTCTTGTTCTTTTGAATTGGAACAGGATGATGACGTTTCACGAGTACACGAGAACGCACAAGCACACATAGTGAGAAACGGCCTGAGTCATTCCTGAACAGCCTCCGCCTGACAGAACCAACAACGACACCAGTTTCCTTTCTTTATCATTACAGAAACTCAAATCTGAGCTCAGCTGACATTTTTCTATTTTCTACCTAAACTCTGGTTTTATTTTATAAAAAAGTCAGATATTTTCTACATTATGTTGCATAAAAATATTCCTGCACCATTAACAACCAAATAAATAAATAAAAAAGATAAATAGGGAATCGGTAAATTAAATAATCAAATTGAAATGAATAATAAATAAAAAGGCACTTCCAAAGCTTTCATCCTTCTGCGCTGATCCAGGATCAGCAGAATGTCAGAAGAACCACCATCCGCTCCGTCATTTAGAAGATCTCGTCTCCATGGCGGTGCTGCAGCACCTACACCCTGCGGTGGCCATCCTGCATCGCCGCGGCGGCGCTAGCTGCTGTCGTCGTGGTGATGCTGATGTCGAAGCAGGTCTCCATCATGACACGCGACTTGCAGAGGTTGACGCAGTATTCCAGATCTGCTGTTGCCTGTGCCAGAGCCTCCAGGTACTCCTGCGACTCCCGGTCCAGGTCCTGGTCTAAGTCAACTGTAGGGAGGATGTTTGGGTTGAAAAAAAAAACACAAGAGATATCATTAAATATGAAAACCATGGAAATAAAACGTGATCCTCATCGTGGGTCAACTTCTGCTCCTTAAAAGGGAGGAAATAGTTTATAAAACACTGATTTTAATGCAACAAAGGAAATAAGAAGGAATCTTAAAGAGACAGTGTAACTTATGGAAGCCTGTTTCTGCCACATGAAAGTAAAAAATGCCAAATAGGAAGTCATAATTATGAGATTTAAAGTTTGAAATTTAAATATCTCATAATTTAATGAGAGTTTAAATAATGACTTTGTATCTCAAAATTTGTATTTGGTATTTTTTTTTATTTTCATTTGGCGGAAACAGGCTTCCATAGTAACTAGTTGTTTTATTAGGAAAAACAATAGCATTTCTTTCTTAACTTCAAATTCTGCCAAACTCAAGCAACTAGTGTTTTATAGATACATGGGTGGCGGTGCACCCAGAAGACGCCATGTTGCGTCGCCATCTTTGATTGTGGTAACGGAGAGGGGACAGATTTGTTAGCTTTTTTTTTTACCTGCATAGGAAAAATGTTGATAGTCATTCTGTTTCTGTGAAAACAGATGATCTTCTCAGTCCTTGTTATTCTGAATAACATTCAGATGCTCTTGGATGTAATTTCTTTTTTTTTGTCTTAAGATAACAACCTTGCAAAAAAAGTTGTACACATTTCCATAAGTGGCTAAAATCATGTTAGCATCATGACATTGAACAAGAAAGTCTGGATGTCCTGCAAAAGAAACAATTAGAGCAGAAGTTTCAAAACAGCTCCCTCTGGTGGTCCTTTCAGATAAGATTCACCGCTGACCCTCTGAGAACCATAATCTTTACTCCAGGGTGGCTTATCAATAAGCAGAGCAAGGGCGGAGCTTAATGAGTGATGAATACGTGTGTCACCATTAAAAAGGCGCCTTTCAGCCAAAACCGGAAAGCGAAATGAAAATAAGAACAAAATGACAGAAATCAGAATTCTACTATAAGTGCTTACGAGGTATAAATACTGATCAGAGAATTCCAAAGAAGTTAAAAAACAATCCACTGGACTTTTATTTCCAAGTTTGACGACGTTTCTCTTTCCATCCAAGAAGCTTTTTCAATTCATCATAGTCGTCTGTTACAAAGTGCAGCTTATAGAATTATTTAGCTCCAACACTTGGCTAACTGCATGCAGCGAGGCTAACTGCACACAGGGAGGCTAACTGCACGCAGCGAGGCTAACTGCACACAGCAAGGCTATCTGAACACAGCAAGGCTAACTGCATGCAGAGAGGCTAACTAAACGCAGCAAGGCTAACTAAATGCAGTGAGGCTAACTGCATGCAGTGAGGCTAACTAAACGCAGCGAGACTAACTGCATGCAGCGAGGCTAACTAAACGCAGCGAGGCTAACTGCATGCAGCAAGGCTAACTAAACGCAGCGAGGCTAACTAAATGCAGCGAGGCTAACTGCATGCAGCGAGGTTAACTAAACGCAGCGAGACTAACTGCATGCAGCGAGGCTAATTAAACGCAGCGAGGCTAACTAATCCCAGCGAGGCTAACTAAACCCAGCGAGGCTAACTAAACGCAGCGAGACTAACTGCATGCAGTGAGGCTAACTAAACGCAGCGAGACTAACTGCATGCAGCGAGGCTAACTGCATGCAGCGAGGCTAACTAAACGCAGCGAGGCTAACTGCACGCAGCGAGGCTAACTGCACGCAGCGAGGCTAACTGCATGCAGCGAGGCTAACTGCATGCAGCGAGGCTAAGGCTTTATCCTGCTTTCCCTGCCTCCTTTTTCAAACGTCACGATCTAACCCAGCATGGATAAAGACAGCTATGACTGATTTAAAGCACTTTGCAGAACACTCCAGAATATTTTTTTGTTGTTGTTGGCATTAATATAAATATAATATTGTGATACCTTAGCATACATTTCATTGGTTTTTGGCATAAGTCTATTTTGAAGTTACAGATTGGAGAAAAGTCTACCAGCCGTCACCGAAAAGGATGCTGTGCTAACATTACTAGCATCAAGCAGGAAGAAAACAAAAGGTGGGATTTCCTGAAAGTTAGCCAATCACAAGGAGTCTATTTTCTCATGTTGGTTCCTCCATAAAAGTGGCAGAAGTTGATTTGAGCCACAGATACTGGTCCACAGAGGAGGAGATAGGACTCATGCTGTGATATGTTAGGAGCATCATGGTATTTATTCTGCATGTAGAATAAAAACACATGTAGTGTATTAGTGTGTTGTTGTTTTTGTTATGCTTGTATCATTATCTATTGGGTGTCTGGACTCTTGGAGGAATTTCGACTTCATATAAATGTCCCAATCTGCTCTCTGGACCCGAGGGTTTCATGCAGCCACAGGCTGTTGTTCCTACATGGCTAATGATAGCTCTCTGCTCCGGACGCCAAACCAACCCAGAGCATAATGTGCTGATCGAAGAGACAAGAGAGTACAACTCAAATCACATCCCGTTCTAAAGCAGGGATAGGGTTCATCTAGGGCAGAGGTTTCACACTAAAACTGGGCAGAGTCACCTAAAGTTATACTTGGGTAACAGCAGCAATACTTCATCCTATTTTACTCAAATAAAAGCAAAAAGTAGCCTTCAGAGAAAGTGCTCAAGTAAAAGTAAAAAAGTATTTCATAAACGGCTACATGATTAACTGATCTACTGTCTAGCAGTGGTCACAACTGATTTCATATTTTACAAAACGAAGAAAAATGGAACAAAATATAAAGTGATATTCAAATCATGGTGTTTCAATGAATAAGATAGAAACATTTCACAAAATAAAAAATCAGGTAGACTGAACATTATTCAAAATATACTTTTTAAGTCATAAAATCGATAGTAAGAAGAGGTTAAATTATGGTATAATGTTTGCTGCACTTTAACTCAACCTCCAAACGACAAAATCAGCAGATGGAAAAATAACATTTATCTTTATCTAAGCCTTCAACTTGTATGTTAGATCCAGTTCCAACCAAGTTGTTTAAGGAAGTATTTCCTCCCTTACAGTTAAAAATAGAGTGATGTGTGCTTAGACGCCGGGTAATTAGAGAAGAATGTGGAGGTAGAGCATTAAAAGCCCAGCAGGGGAGAATTTTAGTCCAGATGGACGTTTCTCCTTGGTTCTACCTTTCTTATACCTCATCCAAAATACTCAGGTTATCCTGAGCTATCTCTATAGTTCTGCTGCTAAAGGCTTAGACTGCTGGAGGACATAGGGACCCCTTTTTCATCATTCTGTTTCATTCTATCTCTATTCTCCCACTCTGCACAATCTGTTAGTTCAATCTCCAACGTTCTGCTCTCTCTGCTTTTTCTCATAGTAGCTTCATCTGGTCTGTTCCTGTTTGGCTGTGACTCCATCCTGGAGAGAAATATCAGCTGTGCTGCTGCCATCAACACCTTTGTTTCTAGATGTTGGAGCTTGGCCTGTTTTCCAGTGTAGTCCTGTTTCTCTGACTGTGACTAACTGGATGTGCTCTCTTCATCCTCTGACATGGGAGCTGGCTCGGAGCTCGTCTGCCTGGCTGTGTGTTTCCTGGACGGGGCCGCCTGTGGAGCTGGTTGACAGTTGCCTTTTGTATCTATAATTCTTTTTCTATGTCTGCTTCTGTCTCCTTGAACCCCAGTGGGCCTCAGCAGATGGCCGCTCACACTGAGCCTGGTTCTGCTGGAGGTTTCTTCGTGTTCAAAGGGAGTTTTTCCTCTCCACTGTCGCTACATGCATGCTTAGTGTGAGGGATTGCTGAAGAGTCAATTAATCGATGTGATCAACTGGTTTTCCTTCAATAGAAATGTCTGATCTGGTTGAATTAATTTAAATGAACCAAAACAAAGAAAGTGTCTCTCAATGGTGTATTTGGTGCTTTTTTTCTTTCATTGAAGTTAATTTTTATGTTTTGGTTCTTCCCATTTGTTGTGACTCTGAGTTTTGTTTTTATTTTCCATCATATTCAAGCATTCTTTAGGTACTCTCTGCTGCCCCCTTGTGTTTGTTTTCTTTCCCCTTGGATTCCCTCTTTCCAGTTCCACCCACACCTGCTCCATATTCAGCCCATTAGTCCATCCTTTGTTCTGTTCTCCTTAAATACTCCACCTCTGCAGTCACTCAGTGCTGGTTCCTTGTCATTGCTGTACTTGTCTACTCAGCTCGTTTCCCCCGATGTCTCCATGGTTTTAGGTTTGTTTAACATTTTATTTGGATTTCTGGATTTGTACCTCTGTTTCCTGTGTTATTCGATTAAATCTGTCAGAACTCATCTCTGTTTCACTCATCTCTGCATCTGGGTCCTCAAGCAACCTCACCACCCATTGCTGACACTCTAAAGATGGAGGCTAACATGTAGAGTAGCAGCACTTTATAATATTAACACTCAAGTAAAAGTAAAAAGTATGCTGCTGTAAAACTACTCCTAGAAGTAAATTGTTTTTAAAAGGTTACCATGGTAACATCCCTGTAGATCTTCCCCTTCATCATATCCTGCAGAGTCGGTCTTTCACCGATTATCAGTGAATCTTTAACGATGGGTTCACTTCTGAAACATTTACTAAACAGATTCAACCTCTAATTTGATTTATTCAGTAAAATCATCCATTTTTTTTAAAGAAAAGAGTTTTATATGAAGACAATAACAAAAGAGCAGCTGCCCTTCAAACAAAGGACTGATTCTAGAAGAACCTCCTTTATGTCTGGTGGAAGTAGAATAATGAAATCATAAACTCTGCATCAGAAAACACTGAACAGCCAACAGCTGCCTGTCAGATTGAAACGTCCGCCTGAAAGTGAAGAATATTTCTCTGAACTCTGAGGAGCTGCTGCACTTTTCTGGTTCTGAGATCAAAGCGCTTTTTCACTCAGTAGAAACTCCAATCTGGAGAGATGGATAAATGAAGTCTAACCGTCCTCCATCCAGTATGCAACTATTACAAACCCTGCCGTCATCTCCTCAAGGCTCCTCTGATCCCTTTGGTTCCTGGAGTCAATGAGGGGTCAGCCATCTGTCCCCGGGTGTCCCTCAGCTCTTCTTTAAAGGACAGAGGATTGGAATTCTGCAGAGTTTTGTGACTCTCTGTCCCCGGATGATGCTTAAAAGGCTGGTTATCCTCCTGCAGCAGTGAGCTTGATGCAGGTATTTCTGATTTATGTCCAATATCTACGGAGCCCCTCTGATGACATGGTCAAAAAAAATGTTTAATTGTGGCCACGAAGTAGTATTTCGCGGCAACGCAATAAGTTTACCGTGCGCACGAAATACTACTTTGTGGCCACGCAATAAGTTTAACGTGCGCACGAAATACTTATTAATAATATCAATAAATCCGCCCCTGTTTTCATGCTTATGTTAACTGTAATGACTTATCTTGGGCAGGCTGCTATGTAAACGGGCCTTTAGTCCTTCGTTTAGCTATGCTGCGGTTGATAACACTACGCCTTTTCCACCTAAAATAGCGTCTTAGCAACAAATGTCACGTGACTGGCGGAGACCGACTGGGTAAGCAAATCGAGCGCGCCTTAGACCTTAGAGAAGGCGCGCTTGATTTGCTTACCCAGTTGTCCAGGAATGATTTTAATATTATTAATAAGTATTTCGCACGCACGTAAAACTTATTGCGTGGCCACGAACTAGTATTTCGTGCGCACGTTATACTTATTGCATGGCCACGAACTAGTATTTCGTGCGCACGTTATACTTATTGCGTGGCCACGAAATAGTATTTCGTGCGTACGTTATACTTATTGCGTGGCCACGAAATAGTATTTCGTGCGTACGTTATACTTATTGCGTGGCCACGAACTAGTATTTCGTGCGTACGTTATACTTATTGCGTGGCCACGAAATAGTATTTCGTGCGTACGTTATACTTATTGCGTGGCCACGAACTAGTATTTCGTGCGCACGTTATACTTATTGCATGGCCACGAACTAGTATTTCGTGCGCACGTTATACTTATTGCGTGGCCACAAAATATATATATAATATATATATATAATATATATACATGCTTATTTTTCCTTCTTATCTTTTTTATTTATTTAACTCATTTTCCAATTGTGGGTTTTCTCCTGAGTACTTTACTTGTCTTTTATTCTTATTTGATTTCTGCTTAGTGTTCTATATATATAGATACATATATTTTCTATTTGTTTGTTTACCTGCATAAATATATTTGTGTAGAGATGTTGGACTGTTTAGCTTGTAGTGATGAAGAGCTTTGGTATGCATGTGTGACTGTGTGTATTGTTTGTCTCTGTTGTTCTTGGGACCCCCTCGAAAACGAGATGGATCATCTCAAGGGGCTATCCCTTAATAAAAGAATTGAATTGAATTGAAATAGTATTTCGTGCGTACGTTATACTTATTGCGTGGCCACGAAATAGTATTTCGTGCGCACGTTATACTTATTGCGTGGCCACGAAATAGTATTTCGTGCGTACGTTATACTTATTGCGTGGCCACGAAGTAGTATTTCGTGCACACGTTATACTTATTGCGTGGCCACGAACTAGTATTTCGTGCGCACGTTATACTTATTGCGTGGCCACGAACTAGTATTTCGTGCGCACATTATACTTATTGCATGGCCACGAACTAGTATTTCGTGCGCACGTTATACTTATTGCGTGGCCACGAAATAGTATTTCGTGCGTACGTTATACTTATTGCGTGGCCACGAAATAGTATTTCGTGCGTACGTTATACTTATTGCGTGGCCACGAACTAGTATTTCGTGCGTACGTTATACTTATTGCGTGGCCACGAAATAGTATTTCGTGCGTACGTTATACTTATTGCGTGGCCACGAACTAGTATTTCGTGCGCACGTTATACTTATTGCATGGCCACGAACTAGTATTTCGTGCGCACGTTATACTTATTGCGTGGCCACAAAATATATATATAATATATATATATAATATATATACATGCTTATTTTTCCTTCTTATCTTTTTTATTTATTTAACTCATTTTCCAATTGTGGGTTTTCTCCTGAGTACTTTACTTGTCTTTTATTCTTATTTGATTTCTGCTTAGTGTTCTATATATATAGATACATATATTTTCTATTTGTTTGTTTACCTGCATAAATATATTTGTGTAGAGATGTTGGACTGTTTAGCTTGTAGTGATGAAGAGCTTTGGTATGCATGTGTGACTGTGTGTATTGTTTGTCTCTGTTGTTCTTGGGACCCCCTCGAAAACGAGATGGATCATCTCAAGGGGCTATCCCTTAATAAAAGAATTGAATTGAATTGAAATAGTATTTCGTGCGTACGTTATACTTATTGCGTGGCCACGAAATAGTATTTCGTGCGCACGTTATACTTATTGCGTGGCCACGAAATAGTATTTCGTGCGTACGTTATACTTATTGCGTGGCCACGAAGTAGTATTTCGTGCACACGTTATACTTATTGCGTGGCCACGAACTAGTATTTCGTGCGCACATTATACTTATTGCGTGGCCACGAAATAGTATTTCGTGCGCACGTTATACTTATTGCGTGGCCACGAACTAGTATTTCGTGCGCACGTTATACTTATTGCGTGGCCACAATTAAACATTTTTTTGACCATGTCATCAGAGGGGCTCCGTAAATATCTAAGCGTGGACTGCGTTATGTTATTCCACGCCACAACGCATGAGCAGGGCTCGATGTTAACCATCGCCCGCTCTCCCGGGGCAATTAGTTTTTATTGTCGGGAGAGCACAAATTTCATTGCATTTGCCTGCCAGGCAAGTGCAATGATCGCAAAAAAAAAATTATTTATCACTGAAAATTACTTTAAAATCACCGACATTCGATGAAAACGACCCAGAAGCGTTGCCGGCGGCATTTTTGCTGTTTTGTACACATTCTCACGTGATTTGAAAAAGCCGCGTGATTTTCCGCCAGATGGCGCGATTTTTGTCCGGGAATTGGCGCGAATCAGACACATTTTTTTTGACTTGGCAGGCTAAAAAACAACAACAAGGCAAAAAAATGTAAGTACAGTAACACACCCACCACCCAGATAACCCTAGATTAAAAATTATCGGTCAGGGATTAGCTCGTGTTGCTGCATTTATTTAGTCAGGGAAAACTAATCCTGAGTCTGTTAAAAGTCAGGGAATTCTGAAATGATGTCAGACTGTGGAAACCCTGTAGAAAATAAAGCATCTTAAACAAGTGAAAGTTGTTTCGCTTAAACAGAAATCCAACCATAAATTAATGAGCGATTTAAAAAGAAACGAAGTTTAAAAAGTGAAACTGAAAAGCATTTAATGAGTAAATAAAGTATCGTCTGCATATAAGCGTTTTTTCCCGGTTTCTCTACTCACACTCTCCGCTCCACTTGCTGGGATGAAGCATCAGGCGGCTCTTGGCCTCCTCCAGCTCCACCTTCAGCCGCTCATGTTTGCTCCTCAGCTCTCGAATTTGCTGCTGTCGCCTCTCCAGCATCCTCAGCCGGGCGTTAAAGTAGAGCAGGCCCTTAGGAGCAAACAGAACCCGGGTCAGAACCAGAACCCTGCAGAGGCTCTACATACAGGAACAGAGGCAGCGGAGGGATGGAGCGGCAGGAGAGAACGAGGAGCCCCTAACCTGCTCCCTGAGCTCAATCTGTGCCCACAGATGGATTTAATTAGAAGTCAGTGAGAGATAAAATTAGCATTAATCTGCAGTTAATCTGCAGGACGGAGGCTGAGAGGAGGATTAAGGCCAGCTGAGGAGAGCAGGCGACACAGAGGTGGATCACATGCAGACTCTCTGAATCACAGCTGTTTAAAAAAATCACCACATTTTAGGAAGCTCCGTATTCTTCATGTTTTCCTCTAAACACTATTTCTGTTGAAATAGAAAAATTTAGATATCTAAAAAGTGTACTCAAGTACAGTAATGAACTTCTGCCATTATCTGAAAATAGATGTGAGCCTCTTCCTGTCTGCCATCCCTTCCCTGGATGTTCTCTCCCATCAGGACCACTCACAGCCAGTGAAATCATGACCTCAGTCATGAAAGGATGGATTATTTCAAACTAACCTTTTCCACGTCCTGGAAGGGTTGCTGAGGAAGGAAAGACAAACAAACAGTTCAGTATCATTGTCCATTATCTACGGAAGAGGATTAGGGCCACCGAAAAAAAAGAGGTGAAGTTAAATGATTTTTAAATTTTATTTCAGTTCAGTGTGGGAAAAAAGTCAGAATTCTGAGATTAAAAGTCAGATTTCTGAGATTAAAGTCAGAATTCTGAGATTAAAGTCAGAATTCTGAGGAAAAAAAGTCAGAATTTCAATTCAATTCAATTCAGTTTATTTATATAGCGCCATATTCACAACACATGTCATCTCAAGGCACTTTACAGTTCAACCAGATCACCCAGTCAAATTGATACAAAGTTTTCTATCTAAGGAAAACCAGTTGATTGCATTGACTCATTGACTCAAATACAATCCCCCACACTAAGCATGCTTGTAGCGACAGTGGAGAGGAAAAACTCCCTTTTAACAGGAAGAAACCTCCAGCAGAACCAGGCTCAGTGTGAGCGGCCATCTGCCGAGGCCGACTGGGGTTCAAGGAGACAGAAACAGAGATACAAAAAGCAGCTGTAAAAGGCGGCCCCGTCCAGGAAAACACACAGCCAGGCAGAGATTAAAGTCAGAATTCTGAGATTAAAGTCAGAATTCTGATAAAAAAGTCAGAATTCTGAGATTAAAGTCAAAATTCTGATAAAAAAGTCAGAATTCTGAGATTAAAAGTCAGATTTCTGAGAAAAAAGGTCAGAATTCTGAGATTAAAGTCAGAATTCTGAGATTAAAAGTCAGAATTCTGAGAAAAAAGGTAAGAATTCTGAGATTAAAGTCAGAATTCTGAGAAAAAAAGTCAGAATTCCGAGAAAAAAAAGTCAGAATTCTGAAATTAAAGTCAGAATTCTGAGATTAAAGTCAGAATTCTGATAAAAAAGTCAGAATTCTGAGATTAAAGTCAGAATTCTGAGAAAAAAGTCAGAATTCCGAGAAAAAAAAGTCAGAATTCTGAAATTAAAGTCAGAATTCTGAGATTAAAGTCAAAATTCTGATAAAAAAGTCAGAATTCTGAGATTAAAAGTCAGATTTCTGAGATTAAAAGTCAGAATTCTGAGAAAAAAGGTAAGAATTCTGAGATTAAAGTCAGAATTCTGAGATTAAAGTCAGAATTCTGAGAAAAAAGGTAAGAATTCTGAGATTAAAGTCAGAATTCTGATAAAAAAGTCAGAATTCCGAGAAAAAAAAGTCAGAATTCTGAAATTAAAGTCAGAATTCTGAGATTAAAGTCAAAATTCTGATAAAAAAGTCAGAATTCTGAGATTAAAAGTCAGATTTCTGAGATTAAAAGTCAGAATTCTGAGAAAAAAGGTAAGAATTCTGAGATTAAAGTCAGAATTCTGAGAAAAAAAGTCAGAATTCTGAGAAAAAAGGTCAGAATTCTGAGATTAAAGTCAGAATTCTGAGATTAAAGTCAGAATTCTGATAAAAAAAAGTCATAATTGTGATAAAATTAAAGTCAGAATTCTGAGATTAAAGTCAGAATTCTGAGATTAAAGTCAGAATTCTGATAAAAAAGTCAGAATTCTGAGATTAAAGTCAAAATTCTGATAAAAAAGTCAGAATTCTGCAGTGGCACGGGAAGGGGGGTGCTGCGGGGGCTGCAGCCTCCCTCGTCATAGCATCAGCCCCCCATGGTGGGGGGCTGTGGAGTAACATAATATTGTACTTAAAAACATGAAATTATTTATGTATTTATTTTTTAAAAGACTGTGTTTGATATGGGATTAAAATGATGGGCTGTGTATAAGATATAAACTAATGATTCATTATTTTAATATTTCATAAAAAACTAGGCTACTCCCCTGGAAGCTTCCGCCACCTCACATTCGTTTAGGCATGGCCAGCAATAGGCAGCAGAAACGTATTTCTGACTATTTCGAGGTAAGAAATGGTTTTAATTTCCCTATACTGCCGCCGAGCATTTATTTAGCGTTATTTATTTCTTATTTATTTATATATGCTGTGCCTATTCGTCGTAGTCCTGTGGCTGAAGAAGTCTACGCTAGAATAAGGCTGCATATCACTAAATATTATGTCTGTATTAAGCTATTTAGTGATAAAATTTGAAATTAGTAAATTTTTTTTGTGTGTGTTTTTTGTTTCAGAAATGAAATCATTTCCCATATCCATAGTCGAATGGACTTTCAAGACGTTCAATGCTCAGTTTAGGCGATATTTAGGCCATGTTTTATTCAAGTATTCCTGATCCTGTTGATTGGGAGCTGTTGTTTGTTTTGAATGATTAAAAGAGAAGAAATAAAGTTTAAAATGTTCATGCTTTGTTCCGATGCATTTTAAATGGCAGTTTTTTGCGAAAAATGTAGGCCTACAATATTCTGTTAAAAATGTCAGCAACAGCCCTCAACATAATGACGTCATGTGTTTTCCAACCCAGCCATCAGCCCCCCTCGCTTGAAACAGCTTCCAGCGCGCCTGGAATTCTGAGATTAAAAGTCAGATTTCTGAGAAAAAAGGTCAGAATTCTGAGATTAAAGTCAGAATTCTGAGATAAAAAGTCAGAATTCTGAGAAAAAAGGTAAGAATTCTGAGATTAAAGTCAGAATTCTGAGATTAAAGTCAGAATTCTGAGATTAAAGTCAGAATTCTGATAAAAAAGTCAGAATTCTGAGATTAAAGTCAAAATTCTGATAAAAAAGTCAGAATTCTGAGATTAAAAGTCAGATTTCTGAGATTAAAGTCAGAATTCTGATAAAAAAGTCAGAATTCTGAGATTAAAGTCAAAATTCTGATAAAAAAGTCAGAATTCTGAGATTAAAAGTCAGAATTCTGAGATTAAAGTCAGAATTCTGATAAAAAAAAGTCATAATTGTGATAAAATTAAAGTCAGAATTCTGAGATTAAAGGTAAGAATTCTGAGATTAAAGTCAGAATTCTGAGAAAAAAAGTCAGAATTCTGAGAAAAAAGGTCAGAATTCTGAGATTAAAGTCAGAATTCTGAGATTAAAGTCAGAATTCTGATAAAAAAGTCAGAATTCTGAGATTAAAGTCAGAATTCTGAGATTAAAGTCAGAATTCTGATAAAAAAGTCAGAATTCTGAGATTAAAGTCAAAATTCTGATAAAGTCAGAATTCTGAGATTAAAGTCAGAATTCTGATAAAAAAGTCAGAATTCTGAGATTAAAAGTCAGAATTCTGAGATTAAAGTCAGAATTCTGATAAAAAAGTCAGAATTCTGAGATTAAAGTCAAAATTCTGATAAAAAAGTCAGAATTCTGAGATTAAAGTCAAAATTCTGATAAAAAAGTCAGAATTCTGAGATTAAAAGTCAGATTTCTGAGAAAAAAGGTCAGAATTCTGAGATTAAAGTCAGAATTCTGAGATTAAAAGTCAGAATTCTGAGAAAAAAGGTAAGAATTCTGAGATTAAAGTCAGAATTCTGAGATTAAAGTCAGAATTCTGATAAAAAAGTCAGAATTCTGAGATTAAAGTCAAAATTCTGATAAAAAAGTCAGAATTCTGAGATTAAAAGTCAGATTTCTGAGAAAAAAGGTCAGAATTCTGAGATTAAAGTCAGAATTCTGAGATTAAAAGTCAGAATTCTGAGAAAAAAGGTAAGAATTCTGAGATTAAAGTCAGAATTCTGAGAAAAAAAGTCAGAATTCTGAGAAAAAAGGTCAGAATTCTGAGATTAAAGTCAGAATTCTGAGATTAAAGTCAGAATTCTGATAAAAAAAAGTCATAATTGTGATAAAATTAAAGTCAGAATTCTGAGATTAAAGGTAAGAATTCTGAGATTAAAGTCAGAATTCTGAGAAAAAAAGTCAGAATTCTGAGATTAAAGTCAGAATTCCAACTTTTTTCCCACACTGAACTGAAATAAAATTTAAATATCAGTTAACGTTTTTTTTTTTCAGAGGCCCTATTCCTCTTCTGTAATTATCAGTGGTGTCAAAAGTTCACACATTTGTTACTTAAGTAGAAGTATAAATGCTGCAGTTTAAAAACACTCTGGTAAAAGTTGAAGTATCAACTTGACCTCTTTACTCAAGTAAAAGTGAAAAAATATGTGCTCCAAAAACTACTTAAAGTATAAAAAACAAACAGATGCCACTATATGAACTGAAAGCTCAGTTTTTCTATAAATTCTGTGAGATAGGGCCAAGGATGAGGGAGGTCTTGTTGGTCTCCGTCTCCCGATACGCTCTCGCCTGTGTCCACCTTTCAGACATTTCAACATCTTTTTCTGAATCCCACATTGTAGCATGGCATAGACAATTCACGTTAGCAGTTTGAAGAACACCTGCTTGCTTCTGCTGATTTCCTTTAGCTAACCAATGAGTGTTTGCGTTCTATGACTCATCCAATCACACTAGTTTTCACTAGATGTGGGTGGAGCCAATGATCTGCATTGGATGGAGCACATGACGGGAAATAAATATTTAGAAACATTAAACCGAAGCCAAGAGTAAGGAATAACATTTGTTTTACAAATGTAAGGAATATAAAGTACAGATGAAAATGTAATGAGTAGAAGTCAGAAGTAGGAAGAAAAATAAGTAATGGAGTAAAGTATAGATATCTAAAAAGTGTACTCAAGTACAGTAATGAACTTCTGCCATTATCTGAAAATAGATGTGAGCCTCTTCCTGTCTGCCATCCCTTCCCTGGATGTTCTCTCCCATCAGGACCACTCACAGCCAGGAATAATCTGACAGGTTTAAGGGAACGTCCAGGTGGAGGCTCCATCAGCACCATGATGGAAGAGCTGGAGTTTCTCACCTCCGCTCCCCCCGCCGCCTCCTTCTTCCTCTGCAGGCGCTCCACATCATCGATCTCATACACCTTTATCTCAAACGGCTCCTTCAGCGGGGGCCGGTCCACCCACTGACCCCCGGCCTTCCGGCCCAGGGTGGAGGCGTCTGGCAGAGGAGCTGGGATCAGCCTCCGCCTCAGGAAACCTCCTGTAAGGAAGGAAAGGTAAGGGTTAAAGATGAGAACGGTGAAACTTGATTATTATTTTCCTGAAACAAATTCAAAACATTCAACTCTAATGAAATATTGATTCATTTAGTGATGGATTTTAGTGATAGATTTAATCATGATTGATTTAGTTTAAAACAGGATGAGATCTATCATAGAGAGAAGTGAGAAGATTGGTGAGAAACACAGAGAAGATTGTTGGAGCCCTTCTTCCCTCCAAACTGAAGAAAACATCTAGATATAAGTAAAAATGTCTTAAATTAATTGGATTTGCTCCGCATATCCATCTGGAAACCTTCCGTTTAAGTAATTTTGGGAAGGGGTGAAAATACTGTTTAGCTGATTGGCCTATGTTGGTGATAGACGGGCCAAATAAACCAATCAGATCAACGAAGCATATGACGTACTAACAGAGCGACGACGAAGAGGAGCCAATTGATAGATCAAACTCTTGCTGAAACCAGTCGGGAGAAGAGCAAAAACATCTTTTCCTCTGAGAAAAGCCTCCAGATCAGTGTTTTGCTCTTCTTTCAGTGAAGAAATACTCTGTAATTCCGATAAAACTTGCTCGATAGCCACGCTAACGCTAGTTTCATCGGCTGAAGCCGCCATGTTCTTTAGAGTGAACTGTCGCGCTTCTCGTTGCGTCACACCTCAACCCGCCTCAAAGCCAACGCTGATTGGATGTTCGTTTGGTGAACGGCTCCAAATTTTCTTTAACGGAGAGTCTCCAGACTGATTAGCGAGTGAAACCTTGAAAGCTCGCGAGATCAGGATGGTCTCACGAGGCTAGATCCTGGATGTGTTTTATGAGAAACTTGACAACAGAAAACTAAGGTTTTATAAAAATATTTCTCTTTTTCAAAAGGTAAACAGAAGCGTGAGACTTTAAACACACCAAATCCTTAAAACCCATCAGCTGTAATTCCAAAAACGTGAAAGAAAAACGATCCACTGGAGTTCGAGGCTATTGCAGAAGCCCAATAAAGCCTTATTTTTGTTTAGAAAACACGCAAACTGAAACGGACGAACGGGTACACCCCTTTGGAACGGGGGTCGTTTGGCTTTTTGGTTCGTTTGGTTCGTCCGTTTCAATTTGCTTATTTTCTAAACAAAAAGAAGGTTTTGTTGGTCCACTCTATAAATGCCTGGAACTAAACGCTATTTCTGACATTTTGAATTGAAAAATCTTCCTGGATGGGAAGAGAAACGTCATCAAACTTGGAAACTAAGTCCAGTGGATTGTTTTATTTTTTTTATTTTTTGGAATGACTGTGACCTGGATGGCTGAGAATCTTCACCATCATCTGTACTCTTATTCTCTCGTTCACCACTGTCTTCCTGCAGTTATTAGCTGATTGAAAGATGCCGACCCCCTGAAGACCTCAGTTATCATTTTAACTATTTAAAACAAGCAGCTGTCGCTTTGCTGCTGCATAAAAATTAGTTATAAGTGAATCCAAGGCAGCTTCTGTTACTGCTGATCATCTGCCTGCCTGTGAAAGACGACTGAGCCGGCGTCAGGATGAGGGGGTGAGTGTGAGGGTGAGGAAGGAGGGTGGGGGAGTGATAATGACTTTGAAGTGTACGCTGGGAATCCTCATGAAACCTTCATGATGCAGAACTGCTGCGATTCCCAGGCTGGCGCAGGTCAAGCATGCAGCCTTCTGCATGAATCACAATCACCTGCAGGAAGGTGAACGGCTGCGAGCTCCGACGCCGATAACAGGCGTGGATCTGTGCAACAGAGGATTCCACGCGCTCAAACGGCAGAGATGGATTTTACAGAAGCCGCAGCAGCAATCACACCTGTGCTGCTCATTGTGCTCGGCTGTCATCACAATGCTTTAAGCGAGCGGTGACTTTCATCGCCATCTTAACGCCCCGACGGATAGAAAAATCCATAAATATGGTAATTTCTCCATATTTCCTCAGAAGGAGATGAGTTTTATGGCTCTGTTACTTTCTGAGCCAACAAATGGAGTTTCTAAAAGAGGGATCTGACTCTGGCTGAGCATCAAACCTCATCGAAAAATAATTGCCTTATACAGAAATGTGAAATAGCTGCATTAAGGTTCAGTTTCATATCTTTTCCTTTAGAGCATAAAGATTTTCAGAAACATTTTAAATGTCAGTCAGGATTTAAACATTTCAATGAAACCAGTGAGATGCTGATATCTACTGGTTCCCAACTCTAGATATTTCAGAAATTTGAATAAATTATATTTCCATTTTTTTTTGTCCTCACATCCCAGAAATGCACACTAAAGATTCAGACACTATAATCACTTTTTATTATGAATTTCTACACTGGAAAAAAAAAAATCAAAATCTTTTTAAGTCATTTTTTCTAAAAATAAGTGCATTTGTTCTTGAATTGAGGAGATAAAAGAGACATTTTGCCAATGGAACAAGACAATTTAGATTTAAAATAAGAAAACCCAATTGCATTGTCTTATTTCAAACGCATATTATCTAATTATCTTATTTTAAGAGTAAAAATGCTCATTCCATTAGCAAACTATCTAATTTACCTACTCAGATTAAGGGTAAAAACACTTAATTTAAGACATTTTTCCATATTTCTAGATCGTTTTTCTAGTGTAGCATTTCTCTAATTCAGATTAGGTCAAATATTAAAGATATTTGTTTTAGATACAGATCCATAATCTAAACTAGTGTGAAAAAAAAAAAAAAATAATAAAAATAACTAACATTGAGGATGTGGAATGGTCTACTCAAGCCCTGACCAAATCCAGGTATGGAAAACCTGAATTCAGTTCAGTTTATTTCTAAACTGCAATAAATCAAAATCTAGATAAGTCATTTTGTCTTGAAATAAGTGATTTTTTTTCTTGAATTGAGGAAGTAAAAGATACATTTTTCCAATGGAACAAGACAATTTACATTTAAAATAAGAAAAAAACTATTTCATTGTCTTTTTTTCAAGTGTATATTATCTAATCATCTTATTTTAAGAGTAAAAATACTGATTCCATTGGCAATTTAACTTATTTACCTACCCAAATTAAGGGTAAATACACTTAATTGAAGACATTTTCACTCATTTCTAGATTGTTTTTGCAGTGTATTGCGCCAATTCACACCACATGTTATCTCAAGTGAATTTAGAGGTAATTCAATCAAATCATCCAGAGAGATTGGTTAAAAGTTTACTATGGAAAACCAGCTGATTGCATCCATTCGTTGACCTTCCAGGATTCGCTCCTAATACGTTTGCGGGGATTTAATGAATTTAGGGTTAATTATTAAAAAAGTAAAAACAGTAAAGGCCAAATAACCAATTTACTGGTTATCTTAATCATGCAAGAACGTTACTATAGCACAATGACCAAATCCTGGCGTTATCCAAGTCCAACTACAGAGCTGCTTTGCTCTGAAAATGTTCCCAGTGAAATAAGGTTCCTGGCAGGAAGCATGGATCAGCCGGACTATGCTGCAGCTGTACCATGATGCTTCTGCACTGCTTCCACATCAGTGGAACCCTACAATAATCAACCCAAAATCTGTTTCTAAGTCAACTTCAATGTTGCCTAACTCTAATTTTTAAGATTTTAATTTGGAGACACTCCATACAGTATCTCAGTGTCATAACAGACAGTGATAAGCCAGCAAAGGTGATCTCTCAACCAGCACACTGCAAAGAGTGATTTTTTTCTATGATATTGATGGAAAAGTGAATCATTCTTTATTGTAAAACATTGACACAGCTGGTTCTCTCATAGCTGGTTCTCCTCCTAAGTACTTAAAGGTATAGTGGAGGATTTAGCAAATTTTTGAAAAGACCCGCCTTCTCCACAAAAACAATGCACATGCACAACCCTGTACCTGCTCCCAAGAGGGAACGCCTATTAAATGCGTGCAAGGGCGTGCACAAGTTAAAAGTTGCTGTTTACGTCGCTTATACAAGCTTGCTTTCCAAAAGATTTGCAATTTTTCCTCTATGTCAGACTCACCATGGGTAAGTGAAAATGGGGACGAGCACATAGGACGGCCTTACGTAAACATATCACCAGAATGATTGACGATTAGGAGGACCACTTATTTTGATGATCCACGCTGAAAAGTAACATCCTCCACTATACATTTAAGACTGCTTATTTAAGGGTCGTTATATTTTTAGTTCATACTCACCGTTTCCTCTCTTTTTGGGAGATTTGGACACTTTGCCTCGGTTGGACAATGACACTCCACTCTCACTCATGGAGTCATGCGCTGACGAAGTGCTGCCGGTTGTCTCGCTGTCGCGGATCATGCTCTCATATCCACTGCTGCCCCCGCTGTGGTAAAACAAGGCGGTGCGGCCCATGGCAGGAGGAAGCTCTCCACTGAGGATGCTGCTGTTGTCACTGCCGTGTCCACTGCTGTAACGCTGTGGTCTCCGGGGCGGTGTAATCTTGCTATAAGGTGAGGGCAGAGGCTTGTTGACGCTACTCATCCCGCAGTCCGAACTTTCACTTTCTCCAGCCCCCCTGCTGAGCTGCTTTTGACCAGCAGCGAGTTCACTGACCCGGGAGTTAGCTGCCCTGCTGATGACCTGCTTTGTGCCCATGATGGTTCCTCTTCCTGTCTTAGCTCCATATCCAGCTCGGGCAAGAGACTTGCCAGTAGGAGGTAGGTTGGCATTGTGTACAGATGGATTTGGAGAAGAACTCAGACTTTTCGAGCTGCTCGTTGACAACGTTCGGACTTTCAATCCACCAGCACCACGAGAGTTACCATTGCCACGTAACTGCCCTAGTTTGCTGGCAGTTGAAGTGAAAGTAGAAGAAGCTTGCGGGCAGGTGGGGATATTTAAAGGTGGAAGGCCTAGTTTTGGCACAGATCTGTTGGATTTGCAGCTGATCCCATTACCAGCACCATTACTATCTCTGAACACCTCAGGTTTCAGAAGAGTGGACGTTGGACTGTCACACCTCTCAAGAGATCTCAAGCTGCCAGAGTAACTGTGAGGATCTGCTTTGGCCCCTCTTGTCTTCAGACTGGATGTTCTGGCAGAATCATGATCAACTTTTAAAGCAGACATTTTGTGACTGAATGAATCAGCTCTGCGTCTGACAGTGAATTCCTCTTCTGAGGCTGAGCTTTTAGGGAAAGGAAACTTTCCATTTTTGCTTGTTTTTAAGGCACTTGGAGACCTTGTTTTTTGTTCTTGGCTTGACTGTCTGGCAAATAGAGGAGCTGAAGAGATGCTTCCAGATCCAGACTTGGATATCATGCTGCTTTTCTGTCCATTTGCCTTTTTTCCTAGTGATGAATACCTTAACGTCCCTGTCACACCGGCAGATTCTAGATCCCATTGTACTTCAGAGCTCTGAGGAGTGGAAACAGTTCCCAAGGTTGTTGCACCTCTAGTAAGCTTTGGCAGCTTAACAAGAGTATCTCCCCTTCTGCTTGTAGACTTCTCGCAGCCATCAACAACTCTCTGAGCCGTGGAAGACCCTTGTACCTTTGGAGGGCGAGGGACACTGTTGCTGTTTCCTCCGGACCTCTTTGGGGAGATTGCAGCTATGCCACTTCTTGTTTGCTTACCTCCAGAGATGAATTCAACCTCTCTCTGATCTATAAAGTCACTTCCCTGAAACCAAAAGTCTTCCCGTCTGCTGCTGCCTAGAGCTGCAGATGAGGTAGGCTTGGTTTTCCTGGGAAGACTGGAGTGATGGCTGTGTTGGGATATTTGCGCTGAAGTTGAAGTGTTTAAGATATTAGCTCTTACCTTAGAGGGTCCTTTAGGTGTGGCTTTGGGATCAGAGAAAGGAGAAGCCTTAGTAAATGATGGTTTGTTTGGTGTGTTAGGGTCACTGTCCAGCTCTGAGAAACAGATACCGCTGTCATTCAATGAGCTCTTCAGGCCATGCTGCAGAAATGGCTGTCGATGGAATATGTTCGGTGACGTCAGAACAGACGCTCTATCCTCTGCTGTTCTCTCATCTCTCAAGAGAAGCCTGCTGACTGAATTGCTGTCTTGACTTGTTTGTTGTGACCCAGCAGATGAATGGCATTCTTGTCTGGTAACGTCATGCTGAGTTGTGTAAGCATCATACTCATCATTGATGCTACTGATGATGCTGACTGGACGAGAACCTGTAGCTAAGGACTGCAGGGAAGCCTCGGGATTGAAGCTGAGGAGGTTTGAAGGGCGGCCGTTGTCTGGGACAAGGCCAAGTGGAAGCTCCTCTATGACCGTGAACACAAGCTCGTCCTCTCCGTTCAGTTCCACAGGTTGCTGAAGTGTGATTGTGGTCCTGAGAAAGTCCCTATCCAGGCATCTACCTAACAAAGCTGCTCGAATGCCGCTGACCTCCATGGGGTAACTGGTGGTGTGATGGGGCCTCCCCATGTCCGGTAATTCCACAGGTTGACTTTGTTCTGGTGCTTGATAGCTCATACCCACAGGGGGAGTCCTGCTGAGAGCTTCCCCAGAGTCAGATTCTCTCATGGGTCTCTGGGGTAAGGACTGGGGTGACAGGGACTTGCTTACTCCTCCTCTAACTTTCTCTCTTACCACAGGCTCTGGATCAGAAGTATAAGGCTCGCTGGACGCCAACAAACATGGCTGAATGAGGGCACCAAGGAGTTTTTCCCCATCAGCACTTGTCCTTTTGGACGATTCCAATGGGGTTCCAGGTGACGAAAGTCCGCTCTCTCTGTGATCCGTTCCAGTTAAGTTCAGGAAGGAGTTCTTGTCAGGTCTGAGTCCAGTTTGATACTTCACTGCTTGTGTTGCTCTGCTCTCTGTGCTTTGTGGGTTTGGTGCTTCACTTCCATCAATGCAGTCCAGTCTCTCCTGCAGCTCTGCAAACGTGTTGCACTTAAAGTGATCTCCATCTGAACGGGGTGAATCTTTGGTTCGCTTCTTGTTCAATGAGGGAATGATGGGGACGAAAGAAGGCGGGCCCTCGTTGTCGCTCAATTCCCGGTCAGATATTGCTATTCCACCGGGTCCGACGTAAATAACAGTGTCGCATGACTGTTCACTGCTGGAGGAATAGTCAGGATCGTTGGAAAGCAGCAGCGGTGTTTCAGGGTCCAGAGCCACAATCCTGGGGTACAAAGGTTGAACATGTGGAGGTCGATGGGATGTGCCTTCCTCACACGAACTGTCACCCCCAGAGGAACTGGAGGCATACTGCAAATAATAAAACAAATGGTCAAAACAAAAGAATTGCAACCCGTGTTTAAAACAACTGGTTTGTACTCAGGTCAGCGTCCTGCACTGGGTCTGGTACCCATGGTTGTCCGGCGGGTACTCATGTACAGTTATACATAAACAAAATGCAGATACCATAGAGTTACAGCATGAATGGAACTTATTTGTATTTTCTTATTTAGTAAGTCTACATCTTGAAAAATTAGTCGATTCAAAAATATCCAGATAACAGTGGTTTTCAAGCAGCAAGGCAAACCTTCATATTTCAACCAATTTACAGCTCTTAATTTGTGAGCGCAGTGCACACTGGATGTGAGCTTTACTGCCTCTGTTATTGCAAATGGCTGTGTGTACACTTTATGATCACGGCTCAGGTCCTACTTTCCTATTGACGGGTCCATGTGGTCCTGGCTGGGTTTTAAATGGGGATAATGGCGGATACAGTTTTGAAAAATTAGATGAGTGCCAGACTCTGAAAGTATGGCTTGATAACAGAAGTTGGACCTGAGTGTTTCTGGATCTCACAGAAACACAGTTCTCATATTTTTGTGTCTCATATTGGGATGCATGAAGTTATAATACATATACAGAGGAGTCCCTCCAATGAAGAATTAATAACATTAATTAAAGCCAGGTACACACAGTGCGATATCTTTTATTGGTGCACGCAGCTACAGCTCAAACTGTGCGAAACCTCAGGGTTTAAAAGTTCACAGCTCACGATGTTTGTTCTCACACTGTGCGACCCGACACTCTGATGCGATCTACCTGCTCACACTGCACATCCAAAAACCACACGTCGCACTCAACACCGAGAGATGGCGCTGGTCAGACTCGTCAATTTGTAGGAAGAAGAACTCCCTTGTTTAAACATGCACAATGCTCGAGGTTCTGGTAAATCGGCTCGTAGCTCTGCTTCAACAGCAGGATTTGGCCATGAACACCTCAAGAGGGCCGACTGAATTTTAAACATTCTCCCGAACTTACGATTCCTGATCGGGAGGTGGACGAGGCTGAAGGTGATCACGGTTTCATTGCACAGTTTTACTCCGGGTATACTACACAGTGCGGGACACACGAGGAGGCTGAAACTCGGCCCGATCAAAAACATTCTTGCACGACTTGAGAATCGGCCCAAAAAGGGCAAAAAATCGTACAGTGTAAGCCCGGCTTAAGGCACACCTGGGTGTGTTTAGTCCTCTTCTACATTTTTTAAAGCAAACGCGAATAAATTAATGTGTTCCATTTAAATATGGAGGATATCTATTTGAAAAACAGTGATGATATCACGAAAATTATTTTTTAAAAGACCTTTTTACTTTAAACTGGACTTTCACCCCCCCCCCAACGTTTCATTATCACTTCACTGTCACAAGTACAGAGCACCGAAATGAACTCTCCGCATTCAACCCATCCCCTTGGGGATGCAGTGGGCTGCCATTTTCAGCGTCTGGGGAGCAGTGAGGGGTTAAGGGTCTTGCTCAGAGACCCAGAGTGGCAGTCTGTGGGAGTGGGGCTCAAACTCAGAACCTCAGTATTCCAAGCTCTATGCCCTAACCACTAGGCTGCCACTCCCTATTGTTCATGCTGTTGCTTTTCCTGATGAAAAGCTTTGGAAAAGATAAAAAATGTTGGTTAATACCCTGAAAAATAAAGATTTCTGCTTAGAGCTGCAGTCGCAGATTATTTATCTGAGTTAGAACATGTAATAAAGCACAGAGCTCCTAACCACATGATGACACCCATTATAAAGTAGATGAGATAAACATCCATGGCTAATTTCTGAGTAAAAAAAAAAGGACACAATACATTTTGACGAATAACTAAAATGAAGGTTATGTTGATTTTTATCAGCTATATTCTTAAAAGTACATTTAAAATGCTACTGGTTGCCTACAGAAGAATCGTCCTCTAAAACCTGAGTTCTGTCCTGTTGGGAAAATGGGGATTATAAAAAGCATTACAGCAGTGGGCGGGGCACCTCGCAATTTGACTATGGGTACCAACAAATTTGGTTGTTGATTAAACTCCCATGGGAGAAATTAGTATAGTTATTAGCGATTTATATACAAGTACAATTTAGGAAAGGATGTTTTTCCAAAGAGGGACTAAAAACAGGTCTTTAATTTGGGTAAGAGCTGGAAATTGGATTCAGTCTAAAAAATGTATTTTGTACAGGAGAGAAATAATTTCTATCTGCTTATTTAAAAGAAAAACAACATAATAATAATCAATATTAAACCAGGAGAAGGCACAGTAATAATAATTGAACGTTATTGATCACATTGGAGAAATTTTTCTCTGCATTTAACCCATCCCCTTGGGGAGTGGGCTGCCATTGTACGGCGCCCAGGGGCAACCACTTGGCCGCCACTCCCAAAGCGTGGTGTCACTGTGTTTATTAATATATAAGAGAATCAATTTCTCGTTATTGGTTGTCTTTTTTTAAATAAACCGACAGAAGAAAAGAAGCTGAATAAAAAATGAAGTACTTTGGATTTCTTCTTTCTCATGCGGTGGATGCGGGACGCCAGCTGCACCGTGGTCAGCGTCTCCATGTAGTTTGCCGGTAAGTCGGAGATGTGGGCGATCATGGTGGTTCTACAGTTGATGTTGCCCAGAGACTCGCTGAGCAGCATGGTGAGCTTGCTGTCCCTGAATAATAGATCAAGAAAAGCCTCGTTAGACCCAGGGAAAGGGGAAAAGACGCTTCGTGGGCCCCAGAAAACCCCACAGGACCCCAGAGACCGTTCATTACTCTGTGCAACGTTTGGAGTCAGTCGGGCAAAAAGAAGAACTCTCATCTGACATTCATAAAGCGCACTTTGAACTAAACGCCACATGCAATCTCTTACATGACATACAGTATGAAGCTCTGCCTTTGAAGAGACCTGGAGTAAAGCTGGATGAGATTTACATTCTACAGTCGATGCTTTTTATTTAACCCAGAGAACAAAGCTGGAAATGTCATGATTTTAGACGTATATATCTATTATTCTGTGCTATGATCAAATATTCACTTATTTCAGCTACAGGTACACTATATTACCACAATCCCATTTGAATTCTAGGAATCAGCGGTTCCAATCACTCCATGGTGTAAAAAATCAATCCCCTAAGCATGGAGACTGTGGGAAGGAATGGGTCGCTATCAGGAGCTCAGTCAATTCCAGCATAGAACTGTGATAGGAGCCAACTTAAATTAAATACTCCACAGTCAGCTGGTTCATTAGAAAATGGAAATGTTTGTGAACGACAGCAACTCTGCCAGGAAGTGACAGAGCAGGGTCAGCAATGCAATGGCTACAGACTTCCAAACTTCATGCACTGATTGCACACTTTGACAAGTAAAAAGTTTGGTGGAGGGGACGTCATGGTGTGGGGTTCTAATTAAGACATGTACAATCCCATGATCTCAGCCCCCCCCCCCCTTTAATGTGACTATGAAACACAGAATAAAGCGTTGTCCACAAATACGTAGATTTTGGTTCGAATGAACTGCACTGCGTCCTGACCTCAACCTGATAGAACACATTTGGAATTATGATGATGATGGATGGATTGATGGACGTTTATGTTTATGCATTATGTAGATATTTTTATTCAAAGCAACTTACAAAGTAGACATAATCTTACAATGAGATAGGCATTACGGTGAAGGATCTTGCATAAGGGCCAACACGGGCAGCTCTTCCCCTCACAGCGGGGATTCAAACCCGGGCTTTCTGTGTGGAAGTCAGAGGATGGATGGATGGATGGATGGATGGATGGATGGATGGATGGATGGACGGGTGATGGATGGATGGATGGATGGATGGATGGACGGGTGATGGATGGATGGTTGGATGGATGAGGGGTGGATGGATGGATGATGGATGGATGATGGATGGTTGGATGATGGATGGATGGATGGATGGATGGATGGATGGATGAATGGATGGATGGATGGATGGATGGATGGATGGATGGATGGATGGACGGGTGATGGATGGATGAATGGATGGATGGATGGATGGATGAGGGGTGGATGGATGGATGGATGGATGGATGAGGGGTGGATGGATGGATGGATGGATGGATGGATGGATGAATGGATGGATGGATGGATGGATGGATGGATGGATGAGGGGTGGATGGATGGATGATGGATGGATGATGGATGGTTGGATGATGGATGGATGGATGGATGGATGATGGATGGATGGATGATGGATGGTTGGATGATGGATGGATGGATGGATGATGGATGGATGGATGGATGGATGGATGATGGATGGATGGATGGATGATGGATGGATGATGGATGGATGGATGGATGGATGGATGATGGATGGATGGATGGATGGATGATGGATGGATGATGGATGGATGGATGGATGGATGGCTGATGGATGGAGGGATGGATAGATGGATGATGGATGGATGGATGATGGATGGATGGATGGATGGATGATGGATGGATGGATGGGTGGATGATGGATGGATGATGGATGGATGGATGGATGATGGATGGATGGATGGATGGATGGATGATGGATGGATGGATGGATGGATGATGGATGGAGGGATGGATGGATAGATGATGGATGGATGATGGATGGATGGATGATGGATGGATGGATGGATGATGGATGGATGGATGGATGGATGGATGATGGATGGATGGATGGATGGATGGATGGATGGATGGATGGATGATGGATGGATGGATGATGGATGGATGGATGATGGATGGATGATGGATGGATGGATGGATGATGGATGGATAAATGGATGGATGGATGGATGGATGATGGATGGAGGGATGGATGGATGGATGGATGATGGATGGATAAATGGATGGATGATGGATGGATAAATGGATGGGTGGATGGATGGATGGATGGATGGATGATGGATGGAGGGATGGATGGATGGATGGATGATGGATGGATGATGGATGGATGCTTGCATAATAATCCATAAATTAAAGTGTTTAAACATTTCTAAGTCTGTTCAGTAATTCAGTCACTGACTCCTTATAGATGCTCGTCCTTCAGTAACATGGAAGTGACTCTTTAATCAAGCTGAGACCCACATCGTCTTTAAAGCTTCATTATTTCATTCTCACCATTCAGGGAAATCTTCACCATGATTGAAAAAAAGAGACAAAATAAAAAAATGAATCAGCTTAAAAAAACCTCCATGATGGTGAAACAGAGAGAGAGAACAGTGAATCATTCAGCCAATGAGAGCGGAGCGATGAAGACGGAGCGGAACAACAAACACCCAGAGGACCGAAGTCACTTAGTTGAACAAAGTAATTAATTCTTCAGCTTAAAGCTCACCCCTCATTAAAAATACATGGGCTCCCACTGGTTCTGCCCCCCACTGCTCCGCAGGGGACAATCTGTTACTGGGTTTACTGGGACGCTCAGAGTGCGGCTGGTACCTGTAGGGAACGTGCTTTGCCCCGTTGGACAGCGCCAGGATGACGTTCCCCAGCGCAGACAGGGACAGACACTGACCCCCGCCCCCCTCCCTGGTCCTGCTGATGTCCGTCTCACAGCTGCCCAGGTCCAGGAGGTGAAGACGACTCCTGCCCGACACTGAGGAGCAGAAACAGCAACGTTTCTATGCGGTTAGCAGGCTAAGGCCAACATTTATTACCCAGTCAGCTGTAAGGAATTGTTCTGATTAATCAATGCCCACAATTAGATCTAATACCTGCTAACGGCTGCTAATCACATGGAAACACAAAGTTAGTCAGTTGTTTTATAAATTATATCGAATCACACTTTTAAAGCAGATTTCTAACAATAGAAACTGTTAGGGTATTTAAGTTATACTATAAAGAATGAAACAAAGACAGTGTAAGATTTTTCCTGACCCTGCTTTGCAAAGCGGAAGAGCAGTATCTTCCTCTGCATCTTCGTCTTGCTCAACACTTGCAGGCTTATTTATTGAGCAGTCAACATATTGCGATTACGCAATCTCTTAGACATAGCATGAACTTTTAAGATAGGGAACATGTCTGGTTTCAGTATACGCTTTTAAAAAAGGGGTAGGGGTCATGAACTTTTAACTTCTGTGATTCTTAAATGAAAAACAGGAAAGCATTCCTGCAAAACATTCGACCGTCTTATGACCTACACATTGATGACAGTAACATAGAAAAACACAAATGATTAAAAGCAATATAAAAGATATAAATGAATAAAATGATAAAAACAACAGAAATCATAAAACAACAGAAATCATAATAACTCCAACAGAAACAAGAAGGCTTAGATCAATATAGAAGCGAGATAGTATGTAGTAAAAGGTAAAAAAAATAAAAATAAATATGATCAATAATTATATGTATATAAGTTTACACTGTAAAAAATAAAATAAAAGTCATTTTTTTCTAATAATCTGTATTTTTCTCTTGTTCTGAGCCAAAGATCATAAGATCATTTAAAATTTAACACAAAAAATTAATTGTTTATTATTTCAAATGCATATCTTATTCTAATGGCAAAATACTCTTTCCATTGGCAGATCCGAGGGCAAACGCTTTTATTTCAATTTAATTTAGTTTATTTCTATAGTGCCAATTCATAACTCAAAGTTTTCTATCTAAGGAAAACCAGTTGATTGCATCGACTCTTCAGCAATCCCTCACACTAAGCATGCTTGTAGCGACAGTGGAGAGGAAAAACTTCCCTTAGGAAAAAAAAAGGAAAATTTCAATCAATCTTTGCTTATTTTTATATCAGCTTTTTGCATTTTAACCATACTAGTGCAACAAAATAACAGTAAAAACATTTTTAAACTTGAAAAAGCTGCATTTAAAAGGTGAAATACCTTAAAGGTAGCTTGTAGGCAACAAAAACATGTTTTGGATCAAATCATGTGTGATGAGTGCTGCCTTCTCTGAGCTAGAAGTGCTTCCAAACTAAGACGTATTTCTGCAGCTCTAATGTGGCATTAATGGATAGTTAATATTTCTAGCATTTCTTTTGGAACGTTGAAATATGTTGACATGAACACAGACCCTCTATTTTGTCATTAGTGCCTCCTTTTCTCCACGATGACGTCAAACATTTCTGCACAACAGTTTAAACCTAAATTTTCAATGTGCTCCATTTAGAAGCAGAACCTGTAGCAGCAATCTGTTTAAGTTGGGTAAAGCCGGGGATACACTGACCGTATGATTATTTCAATCGTAGCACAAAGATGAAGTTTGAAAGTGTTTTTAAACCTTCATAGGATCAGAATCAAAGTGATAAGCGATGAACCAATCCAGCTTTTTAAACAGGGATACCAGAGCTGAGTGTATCAGCAAAAAACGAACCAATATTACTGTGAAGAAATGAACCGAATATTTCACTGCATTAGTAAAGTCCTCAGACTTCCTCAGACATAAATCATCAGCAGCTGCTTTCTACTATGTGTGATGTCATAACTGCAAACGTAGACGTAAAATGAATAGACTGAATGGGAATGCTGGATCCGTGTAATTCATCACAGAGCCGATCCAGCTAATTAGTCAGTATTGGAGCAGATATTCGATCAGGGAAACGGATTGGTGCTTTTCTAGTCTTTATTTTATATCAGAAGTCAAAACACAAAAGGTTTTGATTCGAATCGGCTCTACAAAAATTGTACTTAAGATATTAGATCAAGCCAAAAGGTCCTTTTGATGTTTTTTTAGATTGATATCAGGAGCAGACTTAAGACAATTAGTGATTGGAAAAAGATATTTTACTTTTAGAATAAGAAAATACAACTTTCTATTTCAAACGCATAATATTTCATGAGCTTATGACCTCATTTAAATACAGGGTTTATACATGAATGAGTAATTCTTTAATGCCTTTTAATGCTCTTAGAAATAATCTTAATGCCATTAACAAGTACCCATTACTTATGTATATATATATATATATATATATATATATATATATATATATATATATATATATATATATAACCTGTCCAGGGTGTACCCCGCCTCTCGCCCATTGACTGCTGGAGATAGGCACCAGCACCCCTCGCGACCCCAATTGGGACAAGCGTGTAAGATAATGGATGGATGGATATATATATATATATACAGTGTTGGGAAAGTTCTCTTTCTACGTGAACTAGTTCAAAGTTCAGTTCACACATTTTAAAATGAACTAGTTCAGTTCATATTTCACAATTCCAAAAAACGAACTATTTCATAGTTCTTTTTTTTTTTTTTTTTTTTTTCATATATTGCTCAATTACACCATAGCCTACTGTAGAACCACAGACAGCAATTATTTGATCAGTTGTAACTCTGAAACTGTGCGTCAGATTTCATCTTCATATCCAGTTTTGAATCCTTATCCAACCAGGGTTTACATTAGCATTGAGGGGACAGCATTTCCCCATTGTTGCTTTAACGCTTTGTTGCTGTCCATTCACTTCACACTAGTAGCAGCTGCAGCTTTCACCCCTACAGTATATTCTCAAAAACATCAGGAACAATGTGCTGCTTGAATGGTCTTTTTTATGAGGAATTATTAAAAGAAAAATAGAAAAGTAGTCTTTAAGGTGCAAATGTTTTTTTTTTATTTTAATAATTTTTTCCATTTGAAATTCCATTTCAATACATACTAAAAAGGAATCCTGGAAAATTATACCAGGCAGGTTTAACAAACAAGTTACATGGATAGTAAAACCATCAAGAACAGGGGTCTTCTTTTCCAGACCAAGGACCCCCAAACTGATGGCGAGATGGAGCGGGGACCCCCTATTTATATATATTGTATGAAATTGTGTCCTACAGTCACTCTATTACAGATGGAGTAATGTAAAGAAATTAATTTCTCCCTGGGATTATTAAAGTTTTTCTGATTCTGATTCCTGGTTGTTGTGAAGGAAATGGTGCCCAGCTTGAAAGAGCTCCTGTGTGTCGCTGAATGTGTGCATTGATGACTGAAAGACATCTTCTGCCTCCATTTATCTGTTTACTACAGTGTGTTGATTTCATGTTAATGAGTATTTAAAGACATTTCAATTAGTGGGGGGAAAAAATGCAGGGGGGGAATATAAAAATATCAACTAACCATGCAGACCCTCATGCAGTACCTCCGTAGACCCACTAGGGGTTGCGGATCCCCTGTTGAAGACCTCCGCTCAAGAAGATTTTACTAACACAAACTGAGGGACCAGGCTGAGGTAGGAATTTAAGGTTACTGAAGTGCGGATTTTTTTACTGAAAGCCGGCGGGCAAACTTGTTGCCATCATCCTCACCGACCACCTGGTCATAAAACTGTTTTAAGTGATCATACTGCTGCTTTGTCGCCTCCACGGTCGCCTCCATGCTGCTGTGGCTTCCAGGCTGCATTTTGTTTTGATGACGCACGCGGCTGTAGGCTACGACGCTGGTAGCTGCTGTTGCCAGATTGGGTGTTTTTCCCGCTACATATTAAGGCCTGTTTACGGTGTGATTTAGCCGGGGTTTTTGCCTGGAGGGCTTTATAGAAATCTGGCAACCTATTGAACGGAGTTGAACTGAGAGAGCGTGCCGTTCACAGACACCAGAATGAACGAGTTCACAATAACGTTCATCAGGCAAGAATGCAGTACGTTCAGTTCACGTTCGCCCATGAACGAGTTCATGAACTTTCGTTCAATGAACGCGTTCAGGCACAACACTATATATATATATATATATATATATATATATATATATATATATATATATATATATATATATATATATATATATATATACAGGTGCTGGTCATAAAATTAGAATATCATGAAAAAGTAGATTGATTTCAGTAATTCCATTTAAAAAGTGAAACTTGTATATTATATTCATACATTACATACAAACTCATATATTTCAGATGTTCATTTTGTTTAATTTTGATGATTACAAATGACAACAAATGAAAATCTCAAATTCATCATATCAGAAAATTAGAATATTACTGAAGACCAATAAAAACAAAGGATTTATAGAAATGTTGGCCAACTGAAAAGTATGAACATGAAAAGTATGAGCATGTACAGCACTCAGTATTTAGTTGGGCCTCCTTTGGCCTGTATTACTGCAGCAATGCGGCGTGGCATGGAGTCGATCAGTCTGTGGCACTGCTCAGGTGTTATGATAGCCCAGGTTGCTCTAATAGTGGCTTTTAGCTCTTCTGAATTGTTGGGTCTGGTGTATTGCATATTCTTCTTCACAATACCCCATAGATTTTCTATGGGGTTAAGGTCAGGAGAGTTTGCTGGCCAATTAAGAACAGGGATACCATGGTCCTTCAACCAGGTACTGGTAGCTTTGGCACTGTGTGCAGGTGCCAAGTCCTGTTGGAAAATGAAATCTGCATCTCCAAAAAGTTGGTCAGCTGCAGGAAGCATGAAGTGCTCTAAAACTTCCTGGTATGTGGCTGCGTTGACCCTGGACCTCAGAAAACACAATGGACCAACACCAGCAGATGACATGGCACCCCAAACCATCACTGACTGTGGAAACTTTACACTGGACTTCAAGCAACGTGGATGAAGTGCCTCTCTTCTTTTCCTCCAGACTCTGGGACCTTGATTTCCAAAGGAAATGCAAAATTTACTTTCATCAGA